ATAGGAATATTCTAACCAATGTTTCGTCATAAAGATAGTCATTGATGTCAGTAGAAATGCAAAAACTCGAAAAAAACCTAGACCAACAGGTCCAGAAAAAGCTGTGTCTACTAGCCGGTAAGAAGTTCTCAATCGGACTGATCGTTTGCCATTACTGATTGCAAAGTTGGTTCTTCTCAAATTATACTTACTAATAATCATCACTTCTTGGTCAGCACTCCATCTATTTTCTTTCTACTGTCGGCATTATCTTGATAAGAGGAATCGAATACCGAATCAATTTTCTCTCGCTTCCTATTGTCTATTAGTCATCAATACACAATGTGTGACTCTTTTCGTTTAATTAGGTTTTACAATTGTATTGTTCTTATTATCGATATCTACTATTCATTGGCAAAACATGCGCACTCAGCCAAGCGTATCATGCATGATCATTATTTTGTGCTACATGCATATTTTGCACTCTTCATTTTTCGTAAAGATAAAAGATAATACACCACATCATGAGTGATACGCAACCATTATTATCCACTGTAGATCGTTTTTCTATTGACGATAGCAATAGCAATAGAAGGCAATTAGTGAATAACAAGTAATAGAGAACTTAATTTTAGAAAGGTATTAATAACAATGTCTTATTCATATAGATTGTCCAATTGGCAGCAATATTTCTCTTCCAGACACCTTAATCAAAAATATGAAAATTTGGATGATAATAATGATCGCACTAGAACTGAAGCAGTCGTTGGATATTTTCAACTGGCAAGTATATTAAGGGTGAATACATATGGAACAACAGAATATTTGTTTAACTTTTTGATAGTTCCGCTTTGCTGATCGACTAGATCTTATCATGATATTTCTCGGATTATGTTTCGTCTTCGTATATAGCATGACCTGCATAGGAACTGTGGTTATCTTTGGTCGACTTACGAGCATATTTGTGTTGCAATCGTTTATTGGTCGATGCCCCTCGCAGCAAAACGCATCGGTTACTCTTAACAATAACAGAGAATGTCCATCGAATACTGAGCCAAATATTTTCAACTATGATGAATCGCAAAAGTAAGTATTCATCACAAAAAGCGTTGATGTATTCCAGCTTCTTTCCCTACTCATTGTTGATCGGTTTTAGTCTCTACCCAAATAACAGTACCACCTCAGTGTCATTATCGTCGTTTTCTACGGTCAAATTTCATGGTGATGTAAGACATCTATTATGGTGGCTGTTAAGTAAGCAGAAAAAACTTAACTTTTCAGCTGTCAATCAGAAAAATGATGTGCACCTTGAATTTATATAGTCATTGGTTCCATTTATATTGTGTGCGTTGCTGCTCAATATTTTCTCTTCACTGTGGCCGCCAGACGACAGACCTCTCGAATACGTATTCGTCTTTTACAATCACTTCTAAAACGGGTATGTCAAACATGTTCATGCTGACATAGGTATAACGAATTTTCTGCATTGGTTATCATCGTTCAAATATGTACTTTTTTGAAACTATCCACTGTGCTGCTCTCTTAAAAGTGATGTACTCTGAAACACGACCGGGATGTAGTGTTGAAGTATTTTGCAAGAAACGTCTCTCACAGCCCTACCGTACTCCAACGACCATGACAAGTATTGTTAGTAATTCGAACTATGTATAACATAGTTTGTAACGATTTCAAAGAATTTTCTACATGTTGCTCCTTGTTTTCCAAAGACATTGCGAACAGCATAAATAGGTTTTCTCGTTATAATCAGAGGGAACGTATCATGTTCTGCATATTAACTCCGTAGGGATGACACTGAAAGCATTTATATTTGATGACTATAGTCTTTCTCTAATTTTCAAACGCCGCAGAATTGTATATACTAAAAATAATGGCACGATACTGAACTATTTGAAGGTTCTGTAACTGCTACGAAACTTATAAAGGCTTCGATTTTTGAAACGAAATCGAACCATGCAAGGTTTTTTAGGCAAAATTCGAAAAGCTTTGAAAATACTTTTTCGAGTACTCACAATCATTTTGAGGCATGTTGAGATTTTACGAAAACTTTTTTAAAGTTTCGATTTTCGATAAAAAATGGTTCGACATGGCATCTTATTGTTGTGCAGTGTATGAGTTTATTAGTAGGATATTGAATCAAGTGGGGACATCATACCACAGAGCCATTTTTTGAAATTGAAAAAAAAGGAATTTTTACGAAACTCTAAAGGTTTTCGATTTTGTTTAAAAATTCGGAACCATGCAGAGGTTTCGTGTGACACCTTTTTTTCAGCGTGGAACAATCAATTACAATTTTTATATGCTTTCTGTTTCTTAAATATTTATCCCGAGCATTCTTATTCTTGCATCAGCGCAGATTGTTTCGTTACGTTTTCACAGTTCATAACTTCAATGAATTCGGTAAAATGATTCGCACACACGATAAGTTGTTCTACACCAGATATTAAAACCTCTGAAAGTATCAACATACAAGCTACAACATTCTAGTACTAGTTTAAATATTGCAAGAGAAAAAAATGAAAAATAAAAGAGAATGAGAATTATACTTAGTGATTCCATATACTTCCATACGATTTGAAAAATAAAGACTAAATTCATTGAACTAAATATACCTTTTTTTCTTAGGCGAGAGAGAAGACGAATGCTCAGCACATCTTTTGAAGAAAAAGCTTATGCCTGAGAGATCATAAAAAAATGAAAAAGTTAAAAAAAAAACAAAGGAAGGCTACTTATTGAGCTGTAACTAGTATAACGCCATAGATGTTGATGATTAAACATGTGAATCAATTCTTTTTTACTTTCTTCCTCTTTCCATTTGTAGAATATTTCGTATTGCGATACACATTCGATCAGTCAGTTCAGTGTCAAACTGTTCAAGTAAGTCATTGTCTGCCAATATTTGAAAAAGAAACGATATATGTGTTTCTCATTTCATAGTAATATCGACAAAGTGACTAAAGCCATTGGCTTTGAATTATCAATGTTACTTGTAGCATTATTTGCTATTATTTGGTGTGCATGTATTGCCTTAATCATCAACTGGAAATTGACATTTGCTATAATATGTACAGCACCATTTGCCATTGTCGGCTCATATGCCTTTTCAAAGGTACATACAGTTGCTTTTGGTTGATTTAGCTTGTATCAATTCTCATAGGTAACCACCAAAGAATCAAGAAACGAATTGGATTCTTACTCAAAAGCTGGAGAGGTTGTTCAGGAAGTGTTCAGTTCTCTTCGTACTGTGCTTTCATTCAATGGTCAAAGGTTTGAAGAGAAACGGTAAGAAATATACTTACTGATAAGTGAACCTTGTAAGCCACGAATCATAGTCATGTTTGAATTTGATTGTCAATATAGATATGAAAGAGAATTAAGAGCGACTAGTAGGAGTAGTGTGCGAAAGGGTGCCGCATTTGGTCTTCTAAATGGATGGATCTATCTGATAGGATACACGATTTATTTGATTGGCTTTACTTTTGGCTCGTCTCTCATGCATCACGAAGGACCTGACAGACTCAATTTCAGTGATCTTTTTGTGGTAAGTTATTTAGTTCACCAAGAAGATTTCGAAAACTGGTGGATATTTGACGTTTGAACAGATAATGATTCCTTTGGCACGAGTTATCACTCATATTACATTGCTTGGTCCCTTCTTACAGTCGTTGGAAGAGTGTCGAGGTGCTTTGGCACCCATTTTCCGATTGATCGATGAGGTATTATAGTGCTTAATGTACGATCTTGTTTCTTCACTATTGTATCAAATAGGAAAAGAATATAAGTTTCAAAGAAACACAAAAATTGGAAGATTCGGTATCTTTCGAGGAAGCTATCGATGTAAATGGTGACATTGAATTTGACAATGTTAACTTTGCCTATCCAGCTCGATCCGATGTCTTTGTTTTACGAAATCTCACATTGATGGCTCGTGCTGGTGAAACAACAGCTTTAGTCGGTTCAAGTGGTTCTGGTGAGTACTTGGAAAGAAAACATATCGGAGTTTGATAGTCTATCGTTTGATAATCGAACAGGCAAGAGTACATGTATTTCTCTCCTACTTCGTTTTTATGAACCTTTATCGGGTCGCATTGAAATTAATAATCGATCGATTACTGACTACAATGTGAAACAACTTCGACAAAAGATTGGTGTTGTCAGTCAAGAACCAGTATGTCTGTCTTGTTCTATTCTAGTATTTGCACTTTATATTGTTCAAATTAGATTCTCTTTGCCACAAGTATCTATGAAAACATTCGCTTTGGTAAAGAAAATGCAACAAAAACTGAAATTGAAGAAGCAGCACGTCAAGCCAATGCACATGATTTCATTATTCAATTACCAAATGTTTGTATCGAATGGTTTTCTCTAATCAGATATGCGATATTTTCTATTAAAGCCCACCCCCCACCCAAAATTTTATTTTTGCCATAGAACATCGAATCTTAACGAAATTTTCAGAGTAGATGTATCTTGGGCTGGGCACCTTGTGATAAAAATTTCAGCCTGAAATCTTAAGGATTCCAGGAGATAGCTTAATATTAAGGTCCAAAACATAGGTCTTCGTGCGTCCCAGATTTCTCCGCCATTTTGAAAGCTAGAAAGCTCGGGTTTGTTTTAAAATGTTGCCAATATCTGGGGCTACAACTTAACAGAGTCCGATTTTTTAATTTTTCTTTAGCTTAGGTTTTAGAGAACTTCTACATCATGATATGAAATCAGTAGGGTGTAAATTCTCAAACATTTCCCCCTCATCTGACATCTATCATGAAATCGAAAAATCGGGCTCTGTTAAGTTATAGCCCCAAGTGTTGACTACATTTTAAAACAAACCCGAACTTTCTAGCTTTCAAAATGGCGGAGAAATCTGGGACGCACGAAAACGTAAAATCAAAAAATCTCATTTCGAGAAAAACGCAAAATACTTTTTAGAAGTGTATTTCATGACTTTTCATCCAGTTATAGTGTTTTTCGATCATCTTAAATAATAAAAGACACTTTGAACTCATCATGGGTGAATGATGTGGGTGTGGGTGGGTGTGGGCGTGTGGGTGTGGGTGTGGGTGGGG